TGACACAGGCCATCTCTCCATGATTTATGTTAGCGATGCACCAATACCTGTTTTTTACCGCCGAATACGAGAACCAATACCGGTACTTGTACTCGTGTAAATGCTCTGATCCAAATACCGATACCTTTGCTGTGCGATTTGACCCCATACAAAATGAATGAGATCAAATCGCACTGCAAAGTGTAGCATGCAATTTGAACAGGAATGTGTTGCAGTTCCCGACTGGAATACATGCGATTTCCCTCACTGCTCCTGTGTAGACTCAGGCTGAATTCACTATGACAAGCCACACAGGAGCGGTGCAGGAAACCGTATGCAATTCGGTCAGGAATCACACCGCATTCCTATTCAAACTGAATGCTATCCTTTGCAGTGTGAGTTGAGCCTATTCATTCTGTATGGGCTCAAATCGCACCGCAAAGGTATTGGTTTTAGGTATCAGAGCATTTGCACGAGTACAAGTGCCAGTATTGGTGCAACCCTAATTTATACACTGTATATATTAGGGTTGCACTGATACCATTTTTTTCTATCTGTGACTACAACGACCAATACTCACCGATACCTTTGCGGTGCGATATGAGTTCATACAAAATGAATAAGACTGATCCCCTTGACAACGTCTGTTGAGACGAAACATATGTTGGGGTGGGAATGAGTTCGTGCTGACGTCACCCATGCTAGCTGGAGCCGGCAACAGCGGCATTTTATAGTACATGTGCTATTTGTATAGGAATATTGTAAGTAGTTTTTTTGGCTTTTATCAAATAAATCTTTTAAACGTTACCTCACTGTTGGAGATTCATCTATTTTTAAACCGTGTCCCTAAAAAAGACTAGAAGGAGGAGATTGCAGTACCGTATGTATTCCCTTGGCGGATGATCTGGATCGAAACCCACACAGCTTCATGCAGTATCAGACCACCTATAATTTGGGGTCTGTGTATCTGGTAAGAGGCTGTTTGGTATGGTGGTGGGTTCACATCTCACTGGGTTTATTTTAGAATAATGGACACTAGAACTCATGGACTGAAAGCGGAGTTCCACTTACGCTGTCAAAAAATAAATGTCAGCAGCTACAAAAACTGTAGCTTCTGACTTTTAAAAAACAGCCACTTACCTGTCCCTTGGTCCCACGGTGTGTCCCCCACAACCCATTTCACTGGCCGTCCTGTATTCCAGGAGGCCGGCATCTTCAGTGTGGGCACCTGGCTGTGACAGCCGTGTACCCTCCACACATGTGCGAGTAGCGCTGCGCTTCATGAATGGTCCTGTAGTCTTCTGGGATCTGTCATGTGTCCCAAAAGACTACAGGGAGGAAGGACATCCTAGGCGATCGGACCGGAAGTGGGAGCAGGTACCTGTCAAATTCGGGTACCCGCTCCCCCTCGCCCCCCCAAAGGTGCCAATCCTTAATGGGGAGCGGGGCAGCAGTCCTTAACTTCCCTAGCGGTATGATTATTTCAGATTTTTGGTGCTGAAAGCGGTACCATTTTTTTGCATGGAAATATGTATTTTTTTTTTTATTGTAGGCTGTAATTTAGGAATAACTCACTGAAATCTGTCCGAACAAGAGTCTAGTAAACATCCCGGGTAGGATAAAACTTGAAACACAAAATCATAAATTATAATCTAATAAATAATCATAAAAAATAATAATATAATAATAAATGTAATTATATAATATAATCAAACCAAAAACACTGAAATTTGAAATAGAGCGCCAAGTTCGCACATCACTGAGCAAAGTCGAAGAATCGTTTTCAGTGTCTGATGACGAATTTCCCCCACAAATCATTATCACTCAATTCTGCAAGTGGTTCTGATTTACTATCGCTGTGTTCTCTAGCCGGTCTAAAACCGCTTTTGACCTAAAGGGACGCTTTTTGGACGCCATGGACATTTCTCAGTTTCCAGGCAGAAAGAACAGTCAAAATGCAGGCAGGGCGCCGGACAAAGTAGTAGGGACAAAATGTATGTGAAATGTTTTGAAACAACAATGTTTTACTATGTAATAATAATTTTTTAAAAAATGACATTTTTAAAAAAATTTCAAATTTGCCGCCGTCCCGACGTCACAGGGAACGGCCGGAGGAGATGGCCGGGGACGCTGCAGGGGACGCATCGCGGGAGCGAAGGACAAGGTAAGCGCTGCAGGGACTCCCTATGCAGCACCGCATGGTAAGCCCAAGTGTAGATCGGGGTTACCGCTTTTGGTACTGAAACTTTACCCCGAGCTACACTCGGGAATACCGCCAGGGAGGTTAAAGCAGAACTTCCCCTTTTGGGTGGAGCTCCGCTTTAAGTTTGAATAATTTATATATACTTTAAATGTATTTATACACTCAAATCACTTTATGGAAAATATTCTTATTGGGATACACAGTGTAACAGTTTTTTAGTGGTCATACAAAATGAATGGTTAAAATCGCACGGCAAATCGCACCGCACCCGCAGAGAAACTGCATGTGATTCAGGCAGGAATAATAAAGTAACTACCAAGCAAGATACATTTCGGAGTGCGGAAAAGTATATATATATTGCTTGTTCATCTGCAGATCAAAGGGATAAACATTGATCTGCAGAAGAATTCAGTTAAAGTAACCTGATAAGTAAAAAAAAAAAAGTTTTGTTTTGTTTTAATAAACCCCGGTTAACCCTTAGTTTACTCTAACCAGCCCCAATAAACTCCCTATTCATCTTCTCCATTCACTTATTATTTTCCTGCAGATTTTTTTTAATTCTATTTTATTAACTGCCTGTCGACCACCCCATAGCTGTCCACATGGATGTGCTGCTTTCTATCTCTCTGCATAGCAGAGAGATAGAAAGCAGCAGGTCTCCTTAGTAAAACTGCACACAGTACACAATCTAATCACTAACACACAGTTAACCCTTTGATCACCCCAAGACGTTAACCCCTTCCTGCCCAGTGTCATTAGTACAGTGTCAGTGCTTTATATTAGCACTGATCACTGTATTAGTGTCACTTAGGAGTGACAGTTAGTCAGTTCCCATCCGGTGTCAGAATGCCTGTCACAGTCCCACTATAAGTCGCTGATCGCCGCCATCATTATTCTAAAAACAATTCCAGTATATATACACTGTGATTTGTAGAAGCTATAATGTTCACGTAAACCAATTAATATACACTTATCGGGAATTTTTTTTTAGCAAAGACATGTAGCAGAATACATTTTGGCCTAAATTTATAAATAAATGTTATTTAATTTGTATTTTTATTGGATATGTTTTATAGCAAAAAGTCAAAAATATTTTTTATTCACAATTGTCAGTCTTTGTTTATAGCACAAAAAAACACAGTGGTGAACAAATACCATCAAAAGAAAGCTCTATTTGTGGGAAAAAATTACATAAATTTCATTAATGTACAGTGTTGCATGATTGTGCAATTGTCAGTTATAGTAACACATCACCATATCGCAAAAAATGTATGTGTATAAAAAAGTGCAGCGCTAAAATCACAATGAAAAAGTATATGTATCAAGTGGAACGGTAAAGTGCAACACATAAATATATATAAAACTTGCGAATATAATAGACAGGAAATCAGCAAATGGTAAGAAAATTAGCCGTGTGGTAACACAATTTGTGTGCGGGCAAAGCATCAACCAGCCAGCAATACTGACCGTACCAGGTTTATATTTCTGCTGTCCAATGTTGTCTCCATTGTTCATCTGTCGAGTGGAGCCACCCTAAAACAGGAAGTGTTACTGGCCTGATCACCAGGTGAAAATAAAAAACAGCCTTAAAGAAAACAAATGCAGGCACCACATCTAAGGAATGCTATCTCCCCTAGGACAAGGGTTCCTCTTCCACCTATGCCTCTGATGGAGCAGTTCGTTTACCCCCCTGGCTGCCTCTTCACCTCCAGATGTGATATACCTATATGCCTGTTATCATATACCTTCTGGTGAATGTACATCTGACCGAGGTGGTGGATTCCACTGTGTGATTAATTTCACGTTCACATCCTGCACTTTAGAATACTGCAGTTTATGAATCTATGGACACTGTTTGAACCCAGTTTCTTTATGGACTTAAAATTTTAATATTGCACAAAGTACCTATGTTCAGGGGCGGACTGACCATTGGAAACTCGGGCACTGCCCGAGGGCCCGGGGTCAGTAGGGGGCCCCATGAGATGCCTTTGGTACCTTTTTTCATAGGCTTTTTTGAGTTTGGGCAAGGACACGGGGCCCCATGATCCCCTATTGCCCGGGGGCCCCATGAGTTGTCAGTCTGCCCCTGCCTGGTACCTTTTTCATAGGCTTTTTTTGAGTTTGGGCAAGGACACAGGGGCCCCATGATCCCCTATTGCCCGGGGCCCCAGGAGTTGTCAGTCCGCCCCGCCTACGTTCAACCGTGAATATCAGTAATATTACTATTTATTGATTATTTTAATTGCACATTTAGTGCACTTATCATCACCTTTGCTCACAGACATAATTTTTCCTTACCGTTTGCTGATTTCCTATTATATTCGCAAGTTTTATATATATTTATGTGTTGCACTTTACCGTTCCACTTGATACATTTACTTTTTCATTGTGATTTTAGCCCTGCACTTTTTATACATAAACTTGTGGGGATCGTTACCTATACCTTGCGTGCTAGCTGCTTTATAGTCATCACTAGCGCTCACCTATATACAATATATTTATATTGCAAAAAATAGCCTGGTCAGGAAGGGGGGGGGGTAAATCTTCTGGAGGGCAAGTGGTTAAGGTGTTACTAAACCCCGGACCCTGCATTCCCTATATCCACTCTCCCCGAACCCTGAATTCCCTATATCCGCACTCCCGGACCCTGCATTCACTATACTGTATCTGGTCTCCCCGGACCCTGCATTCACTATATCTGGTCTCCCCGGACCCTGTAATCACTATATCTGGTCTCCCCGGGCCCTGCATTCACTATATCAGGTCTCCCCAGACCCTGCATTCACAATATCTGGTCTCCCCGAACTCTGCATTCACTATATCCGGTCTCCTCGGACCCTGCATTCACTATATCTGGTCTCCCCGGACCCTGCATTCACTATATCTGGTCTGCCCGGACCCTGCATTCACTATATCTGGTCTGCCTGGACCCCGCATTCACTATATCCGGTCTCCCCGGACCCTGCATTCAGTATATCCAGTCTTCCCAGACCCTGCATTCACTATATCCGGTCTCCTCGGACCCTGCATTCACTATATCTGGTCTCCACGGACCCTGCATTCACTATATTTGGTCTCCCCAACCCTGCATTCACTATATCTGGTCTGCTTGGACCCTGCATTCACTATATCTGGTCTGCCTGGACCCCGCATTCACTATATCAGGTCTCCCCGGACCCTGCATTCACTATATCTGGTCTCCCCGGACCCTGCATTCACTATATCCGGTCTCCCCGGACCCTGCATTCACTATATCCGGTCTCCCCAGACCCTGCATTCACTATATCTGGTCTCCCCGGACCCTGCATTCACTATATCCGGTCTCCCCGGACCCTGCATTTACTATATCCGGTCTCCCCAGACCCTGCATTCACTATGTCCGGTCTCCCCGGACCCTGCATTCACTATATCTGGTCTCCCCGGACCCTGCATTCACTATATCTGGTCTCCCCAGACCCCGCATTCACTATATCCGGTCTCCCCGGACCCTGCATTTACTATATCCGTTCTCTCCAGACCGGCATTCACTATATCTGGTCTCCCCGGACCCTGCATTCACTATATCTGGTCTCCCTGGACCCTGCATTTACTATATCCGTTCTCTCCAGACCCGGCATTCACTATATCTGGTCTCCCACAGTACACAGAACATGAAAATGCAATTATTTTAGTAAATATAAACTGCGAAATACCTTTTCTCATCAGCAGTATATAGCAATCTTGTGACTTCTATCCGTGTCTAACAGAGCAAAGGTTAAAACTTGTAGGTGGAATTTTAATTTTCCCCTGATGGTCTTATGAGGCTGCATAACCCTTGGCCCTCTGTCTGGACAGTGCTGATTGGCTCTGTGCTGATCACATGCACTCTCCCAAGAAAAAAAAAAACTGAGCATGTGCAGCTTGCCCCCAAGGCTTTGATCTATCAGCAGATGGATTGGGGACTGTGGATGAAGGACAGGATCAGAGAAGACAGGATCAAACAGCCTTTTAACACAATGCAGAGGATTAACCCCTTTGGTTCCACAGTGAATATAACAAGCATGCTTTACTGCATATATGGACTGATTTTACTGCTATGAGTTTAGTAACACCTTACCTATTAATATTTAAAACATGTTTGTGTTAATATTTTGACACCTTTAGCATATTTTTACATGTTTCATGTTTGAAAAAACATGGAAAGTTGCCAAAAAAAAAAAAATACCTTTGCAATGTTTTGTACCAGAATCATAATTTTAGTGTCAAATTTAGGGTCTTTAAACAGGAGAAATTACAGAATACAACACACCCTTTTTGTATGCAGTAACACTATTTGTTTTTAAGCAAACACTGCTCAAAAAAAGAAAACGTATTTTAGTTTTGTTACGTTTCATTGGATTTCAAGGATTGGGAAAAAAATCTATGTTGCAAGACAATATTCATGAAAAGAATGCCTTGTTAGTCCTTGAAAAAAAAAATGATATATGTACAAACATATATGCAGTGCTCCGCATAAATGAGTCCACCCCAACAGATTTGTCAGAAAACCTTTACTTTCCTTTCAGAATCAACATTTTCTATGGGACACTATACTACAAAGTACTCCAAAAAATGGGGGCAATTGATAGCAAACAAGATTTGTTCATTTGCACACACAAAAAAGTATTTTTGCTAACAGATTCACAAGATTATGTTGCAAAAATGAAAACACCCCAATGAAAGCCTTAGCAGCTAAGCTAAGCGTTATGCAGGCCATAGATGGGGAGAAAAACGGCAGATTTTTCTTTTAAAAAACGAAAAATCGGTCATTCAAGTGGCCGACGTTACCATCAATGGTAAAAAAAAATCGGCCGATTTTCATCCCGTCTAGAGCCGGCAAAAAGTGTCCCTGCAGAGAGCTCTGCTATTTCTTTGACAGTTCTCTGACAGTTCCTTGACATTTATAGAGGTTGCAACAATGTATCTATTTGTTTCCATTTAGGATACAGATGTTTTTATTCGGAAACAAATAGATACAATGTTGCAACCGCTGTAAATGTCAAGGAACTGTCAGAGAACTGTCAAAGAAATAGCGGAGCTCTCTGCAGAGACACTTTTTGCTGGACTGGAATTCCTCTTATTTTCATCCTACTTCTTCTTTTTCTTCATCCTCATCCTCTTTCTTCATCCTCATCCTCTTCCTCTTCTTCATCCTCCTCTTCTCTCTTCTTCTTCATCCTCATCCTCTTCTTCTTCATCCTCTTCCTCTTCTCTTCATCCTCTTCCTCTTCTTCATCCTCATCCTCTTCATCCTCATCCTCTTCATCCTCATCCTCTTCATCCTCATCCTCTTCATCTTCATCCTCTTCATCCTCATCCTCTTCATCCTCATCCTCTTCTTCTTCATCCTCTTCCTCTTCATCCTCTTCCTCTTCCTCTTCATCCTCTTCCTCTTCATCCTCTTCCTCCGCATCCTCTTCCTCCTCATCCTCTTCCTCCTCATCCTCTTCCTCCTCATCCTCTTCATCCTCTTCACCCTCATCCTCTTCATCCTCATCCTCTTCTTCTTCATCCTCTTCATCCTCATCCTCTTCCTCTTCATCCTCTTCCTCTTCATCCTCCGCATCCTCTTCCTCCTCATCCTCTTCCTCTTCATCCTCTTCCTCTTCATCCTCTTCTTCTTCATCCTCTTCCTCTTCATCCTCATCCTCTTCATCCTCTTCATCCTCATCCTCTTCATCCTCATCCTCTTCTTCTACTTCTTCATCCTCATCCTCTTCTTCTTCTTCATCCCTCTTCTTCATCCTCATCCTCTTCATCCTCATCTTCTTCATCCTCATCCTCTTCTTCTTCTTCATCCTCTTCTTCTTCCTCTTCTTCTTCTTCATCCTCTTCTTCATCCTCTTCCTCTTCTTCTTTTTCTTCTTTTTGTCTTCCTCTTGCAGGTCACTGCTCATGCGCAGATTTTTTATCGGTAAAAAATCGGCCGATTTGCCCACTAATTGCCGCGAAAATCGGCCGATCGGCAAAATCGGCCGATTTTTTTCCAACTTTACCGGAAAAAAAAAACCGGCCAAAATACCGAAAAACGGCCGACCAAATCGCCCACTAACGATCCGAAAATCGGCCGATTTTATTTTCGGCCGAAAAATCGGCCGATTTTTGACCCATCTATGGCCTGCATTAGACAACAAAATCCTAAGTAACAAGAATTCAACTACAGGTGAGTCTAATTATTAATTAACCGCTTCCCGACCGCCCTATAGCAGAACTACTGCTACAGGGCGGCAGGGGGTGCGCAAAATCACGTATATATACGTGATTTTGCATTTGTGGGTAGGGGGCGTGTGCGAGTCGGGCGCGTGCCCTATCCACGCTACCGTTCGCAGGCGCCAATCACCTGGTCCCGGAACAGCACAGCCATCCAGAGCAGTATGATTACAGTGAAACACACACACACAGCCCCCTAGTAAAACACTCCCAGCACACAGTTAACCCTTTGATTGCCCCCCCCATGTTAACCTCTTCCTGCCCAGTGCTATTAGTACTGTGTCAGTGCTTTTTTTTTAGCACTGATCACTGTATTGGTGTCACTGGGGATGTCAGTGACACCAAGTCAGTTCCCCCCAGTGTCAGAATGTCTGCCGCAGTCCCGCTATAAGTCACTTATTGCTGCCATTACTAGTAAAAATAAAAAATAAAATAAAAATCCCAGTATCTATACCGCCATTTGTAAATGCTATAACTTTCACATAAACCAATTAATTTACACGTATTGGGATTTTCTGTTAGCAAAGACATGTCGCAGAATAGATTTTGGCGTAAATTTATGACGAAATTTGATTTTTTTTTATTTCTTTACTGGACATGTTGTATAGCAAAAAGTAAAAAAAATATTGTTTTTTTTCTCAAAATTGTAAGTCTTTTTTTTCATAGCACAAACAATAAAAAACGCACAGGCTTTCAAATACCACCAAAAGAAAGCTCAATTTGAGGGGAAAAAAAGGACATAAATTTGATTTGGGTGCAGCATTGCATGACCGCACAATTGTCGGCTAAAATAATGCAGCGACGTAACGCACAAAATGGCCTGGTGAGGAAGGGGGGGTAAATCCTCAGGAGGGCAAGTGGTTAAGCAGGTGTCCAGCAGGCAGTTGATTATAAAAGAGCGTTTCTTAACAAAGAAAACCCCTCCCATTTAATACTGTCAGCAATGGCACCACATGGAACAGAAATGTCACAAGGCCTGAGAAAAAAAATAATTTCTTTACATAAAGGTGAAGGCTACAAAAAGATCAGCAAAGCTTTACTTATCAGTCAGAATACTGTAGCAAAAGTGATACAAAAATGTAACAAAGATGGAACTGCAACCATCTCACAGAGATGTCAAGGCCGTCCACGGATGTTAACACCTCGACAGGAGTGTCTTCTGATGAGAAGGGTTGAAGAAAATCACCATACAAGTTCACTGTAGTTCGCTAAAGAAGTAGAAAGTCAAACTGGGGTGATTGTTTCCCGTGACACAATACGGCGTACACTGCAGAGGAATGGCATCCATGGGTGTCGTCCACGAAGTAAGCCTTTCCCAAAGCCCATGCACAAAAAAGCCAGCTTACAATTTTCCAGGGCCCATGGGGAAAAAAGAAGACTACTGGGACTCTGTACTCTGGAGTGATGAGACCAAGATAAATGTTTTTGGAACTGATGGCTTCCAAACTGGATGGTGTCGCAAAGGTGAGGAGTACAAAGAAAAATATATGGTGCCTACAGTGTAACATGGTGGTGGCAGTGTCCTGTGGGGCTGCATGAGTGCCGATGGTGTCGGGGAGCTGCATTTCATTGATGGTATCATGAATTCACAGATGTACTGCTCTATATTGAAAGAGAAGATGCTACCATCACTCCGTGCCCTTGATCGTTGGACACTTTTCTAATATGACAATAATCCAAATCACACATCTAAGACCACTGTTGCATTTCCGAAGAACAGGATGAAAGTGATTCAGTGGCCAAGTATGTCTCCTGATCTGAACCCAAATGAACACCTATGGGGAATTCTGAAGAGACAAGTTGAGCATCACTCTCCATCCAGCATCCAGGCTCTAAAAGAGGTTGTTCTTGAAGAACAGAAAACGATAGATGTTGCAATATGTCGCCAACTTGTTCATTCCATGCCTAGAAGACTTGGTTCTTCTTACAAATCATGAAGGTCATACAAAATACTAGATGGAGCAGTTTTTCTTGTGGGGTGGATTCATTTTTGCATCAACTAATTTGAGTAAAACTGAAGATTTTGTAATCTAAGTTCTATTATTAACCTTACTTTCATGTAATGAGCTCAACAAATGTTCTATAAAAGTCAGTTTTGTAAAAATTTTAGAAATTGTTCTTGTGTTTATTGAGATATTGAATAAAATCTTACTTTTCACAAAGGGGTGTACTCATTTATGCTGAGCACTGTATATGAATAAACAGGCCTATAGATGAAATGTAGTCCATAAAGGATGAACAGCTGTAAGAGGTGAAGTGGTTAAAAACATTTTACATTCCTTAGGGTACCGTCATGTGACCCTCTGTAGCCCCTCCCATGTAAGTGGAGATAGGTAATCCACTGCTGCAGTCCAAGCCTGCAGCAAATCGGCCTGATTTCTGCCCCTTGTAATGATGTCATAATGTCATTGTTTAAGTCTGTTATGACCCTACCAATGGACAGCCAATAGGAAGCATCCACATTACCAAGAAGAGACGTGG